CCATTTCTCATACAAATCATCTTTTGGTTTTAAATGTGGCTTTACCTGTTATGCCACACTGCCAGTCCCCAAAAGATGTTAATACACCAATCTAAAAATCTAACAATTTACTACTGTTAAGTTCAATAAAGTACATTGATGACTATTTAATGAATAACCTATGATATAATATGTTTTCATAATTTTTATACAATAAATATACTTAAAATGTAGGGAAAAAAATCTGGCTTACTCAGGTCAAAATGGATTAGACTTGAAGAGAAGACCTGAACCTGTAAAACCTTTAAAAGAAACTGTCGGGGAAAAACTCCGTGACACGAGTTTGTGCAATGATTTTTTGGTATATGATCCCCAAAGCAAGCAAAAAAGAAGGTGCATCAAACTAACGAAACATCTGAGCAGAAGAGGAAGCAACCACCAGTGAAGAGGCAATGATTAGTGAGTCATACTCAAAACATGACATTTAAGGAATTCAAACTACTTAAAGGCAGCAATACAAATAACCCAAACAAAACAGGCAAAGAACATGAAGCTGTACAAGCAGCCAATAGGCACTCTGAAAGATAAACATGTCATTAATCATCAAAGTCACAGAGAGACATCACAACAAACTTGTGGAGTAAAGTTACTAAAACTATGAAAGTTAAGTGATTGTATGAATCCATATAAGGAATATGTGCATAATGTTGGCGGAAAACAGTATGAAAGTTCACCAAAAATTTAAAATAGAACTACTGTATGAACCAACAATCCACAGGAAATGCACGTTCACTGCAACACTACTCCCAATGGCCAAGCTGTGGAAAGAACTCCAATGTTCAGCAACAGAGGAACAGATAAAGGAGATACAACAGGACCAGCACAAAGGTTCATTGGTAATTCTCTGCAAGCATCAGCATCCTGTAAATGCTCTGATAATGTCCCAGCTGCTCTACTTCCCATGCAGTCCCCTGCTTGTAGTCTGGGAAACAAGTGGAAGATGACTAACATTCTTGGGACCCGGCAGCCATGAAAGAAGCACCTGGCTCCTTGTTTTACATCAACTCAGCTCCTGCCATTGCGGTGAGTAAACTAGCAGATGCAAGAATCTTTATTTCTATTTCTCTTTCTCCCTGTAAATCTGCCTCTTCTGTAAAAACAAATATTTTTTTTAAAAGGAGATACAACACACAAGACATTATTAAATCTTTTAAAAAGATGAATGATGAATTCCTGTCTTTTATGACAACACAATGAAAATGGAAAATACAATTTTAACTAAAATAAGCCAAACAAAGAATGACAAATACAGCATGTCACACCTAACATGTGGAATCTAAAAAGGGAAATTCACAAAAACCACAGCAGTCTGGTGACTCCCATGGATGGAAAGAGGATTGGTCACAGAATACAAAGTTTCAGTTCCAAAGGAGGAATAAGATCAAATCATTTATTGTAAAACCTGGTGACTACAGTTAATGACAATGTACTACAAATGTGCATATATTTAACAAAGAAGCTTTTATCAACTAAATATAATAACTATGTAAGATGGTCAGTGTTAAAGGCCTTGATTTACCCATCCCACATGGATACATTTATGAAAATACAATGTTCTACTCAATGCAGCTGTCTATCAGTATCCATGCACGATAATGATGATAATGATTCCCAGATGGAAAGACAATGAAATCTGTGAATGCTCAACACTCTGTATATAAGAGTATCGTATTTATAACCAATGCACACCATCCCACACACTGCACACTGTCCTTATCAACTGTTGTGTTTTGTTAAAGGAATAATCACAAAGAAGTCTGTATATGTTCAGTACAGATGCAATTCCCCTGCCCCACAGCACAGATATTTCTGACTGGACATGCAACCTATTGACATAAAGGACACACACACACACAGACACACACACAAATATATATATAGCTTTTGTCAGAAACTGAATTTAAAAATTTTAGTGAGAATAAATTCTTGCATGGATGAGTAATACACTATTTTTAAAGACTGCAGTGGCCAGGCCAGTATTGTGGTACACTATGTAAAGAAGGCATTCCATGTGTCCGTAGGTTTCAAGTTTCGGATGCTCTGCTTCTGATCTTGCTTCCTGATAGCGCACCAGGAAAATCAGTGGAAAATGGCTCCAAGCACCTGGGCCTAGGGATCACATGGGATGAAGGTGCAAACTCCTGGCTTCAGGCTGGCAGACTCAGCCATTGCTACATTTGGGAAGTGAAGTGGGCAGATGGAAGAGCTCTCTGTTTTTGCAAATCTGCCATTCAAGTAAATACATCTTTAAAAACAATAAAGATAGTAAAAGCATACAGGAATACATATGACTAATAAGCTTTTCTGTAATGATCTAGATAATAAATAATTTAGACCATTAAAGTCATTAACTCTCTCCTGTAACTACTAAACTCTATTACAATAGTGCAAAAAGAGAAATGGACAAGACATAAACATGCTACTGTAACAGTGCTTTATTTGAAGGGACTGAAAAATCAATTACATATCAATTTCAAATGTCAAAAAACATTTAAGAACTGTTTTGCAACTACTCAAATAAGTAAAAATGATTCGTCAATCATGGAACGTACCAAAACAGATAGTAAATGACATCTGGCCAAGAAGCCAGAATTGCCGACCACCAGAATAGACAATCTCATAACTACTGAAGCACTCAACCTATGACCAACCAGCGTCTCTTCTCACACATCTCCTAGTGCCCTCGACAAAGCTGAAATGTGTCAGCTGCCATCTCACAACACATAGCAAAAACACTTAGAAGTTTCAAAGAACACACAAAAAAAGTCCAGCAACAATATCAAAACTCCTTTTCCAACCTCCTTGTGGAAAGATGATAAAGGTGAAACTGGAAGATGATCTAGAAAGAAACCTTTCAGGTCTGATCACAATGAAAAGACATTTTGATAAGCAATATTAAAAATGAACAGGCATTCTTAAATTCTGGAAAAATAAATAAAATTCATTCAGTCTTTTTTTTTCCCATACTGTCAGAGCTGTGACTAGCATCATTAGATGAACAGAGCTTAAAAAGCAGTATGGCTAGAGAGAAAAATCACACATAAGTACCTATCTTTTCAGGTACTTATTTTGAAACAAAATTCAATTGAAAATGGAAAATAAGCATACTTACATGCTTACTTTTCCAGACATTTGTATTTAAACTTTTGCAAGTTAAAAACATAATGTTAAGGCAACTTCTAACAAAGGATGTCAGCAAAAAAAGGTCAGGTCTTAATTAACCCATCAACTACTATTTCTTTTCTAGGGAAAACAGAAAGCAAAGTATCCATTTATTTCTTCTTTGCCTCTAAAATACAATGACCAAAAACAATTCTGAACACCGATTTACTCAAGTCTTCTGCCTAACTTTCATATTCAGCTTAAGTCAAGATACCTTTTTTAAAGATAGCTGAAAGTAACTAGGAACTTGCTTTTGTAAGAAAACTTTACACTATCCTGAGGAACATTTTACACCTAAGAAAAGATCACTTTTCCACATAAGATTCAACACATGTATGAATTCAACCCTTCTAAGCAACAGCCTAACAAAAAAATTTAACATATACTCCAAAAACATGGGCATTTCACAATTACTGGGCACACATAATCAACCATGTGCTTACTGTTCTGAAGCCTACTACTACACATTGAGAAAATTCCAATTGTCATCACTCTAATTATTTACATCACATAATCTATTTAATTTTGATTTGTCTTATCACATCCTGCCATTCACAGAACAAAGGACACTTGATCCAACTTCTTGTCATACTCACGGAACTGGAGGCAGCTAAAAGGCATATGGAGATGCAGACACCACCTACAAGCAACTTTTCACAAAAAGAATATATACAGAAAAATGCTCAAAACTCCAGCAGCTCCATTCCTGATTCCAGCTTCCTGCAAATGGGCAGCCTAGAGACAGCAAGTGATAATGGCTGAAGGGTTGAATCCATGCCATGTATGCAGGAGACTAGGACTCCTAGTCTAGACTCCTAGCTCCTGCTCCTGGTTGAGGCCTAGCCTGGCCCATGCTGTTGCTGATATTTGGAATGAATCAGTAGATGTAAGTTTACTATTTGTCTGTTTTATCTCACATTTTTTAAAAATGTTATTTTCAAAAGCTTGTTTTTATTTATTTGGAAGACAGAGAGATAGGATAGAGACAGAGCAAGCTCTCTTCCATCTGCAGATTCACTCCCCAAATTCTCTTAACAACTGCAACTGGCTCAGGCAAGAGCTAAACTCTGAATTTCATCCACAGTTTTCCAAGTAGATGGCAATAACTCAAGTACTTGACCCATTATCTGCTGCCTCCGTATGCACATCTTGCGCTAACTGGATCAGACGCAGACACAGGACTGAATCCCAGGTGCTCTGATGGCGAAAATGGGCATCCCAAGGAGTAGCTGAACTACACCACAATGCTCATGGATGTCTTTGCATTTGTTTGTTTGGCTTTATGTGTGTTTGTTTTGTTTTCAGAAAAGGACTGAAGAACATGAGTTGAATGTAACAGCCTGAGACAGGGAAGGAACAGTGTGAACAGCCTAGGTTCTTCTAATCCATCCCTTGGAACAGAACAGCCTTCACAGCTTTAGCCCAGTGTCTGCTGTTTGCCTCAAAGTAACAACTGAAGGATGGGCTGTGTTCCACGATCCCTCAGCTGCATGGCAAACCAGAGTCCAAACTGCCTCATGCAGCTTTTCTGAATCTTGTGTGAATAGCTTGCAATGTATCCTAGTCCACTGTTGTTCCATACTTATTATCTGTAAGTAATAAAACCATTCCCTATAGCTTGTTAGGGAGAGATTCTATCTCATTGACAAGACCACTGGTAACCAATGCACAGTGAACTTGCTTCACAACCTCCAATATTGTCTAAACGAGAAAACGACTAGGAAGTAATCTAATCAACTGAAAAAAATTAGAATCTGATGAACCAGTTCTTGATTTTACAGTCCACAATTCTTTCTTACCTTGTCTATTCTATCTGGGCGATTAGTAGCTGCCAAAATAGTCACATCCTTTAGTTGTTGAATCCCATCCATTTCTATTAGGAGCTGAGCCAAAACACGGTCGGCAACATTCCCAGCACCTGAGGAACTGATGTTACAAAATATAATTTTAAACATATGTTTACATATTCCCTAAAACTGTATTATTTCTAAGGCTCTGCATTCTATTAGTTTATATTCTAAGAAAAATATATACATCAAAGAATTAAATACATATTTGGGAATTACTTATTTTACTATCATATGCAAAATCTATATTGAGATTTTTCCATTCCATCATCAAGCATACTTGTTTTATCCAATACTGAAATACTAAATGAGTATCAGATATGAAAAGCACCTACATGAAAGCAGTAAGATTTTATTAAGAAAGTCAATCACAATCATAGACAAAGTGATATTTTTGATGTTTTGCTACTATTAAGAGTGATAAAAACATATCAGCAAAGTAGGCTGGAAAAACACTATCTGCAGAAACAAGAAAAGAAAGCATTTCACTGTTGCTTTATGTTTATGCCTAAATACAGACTATATTACACTAGTTTTTCATTTGAATCTGTTTCTATTGATTAAATATGTGAATGTTGATTATTATGAAATAGTCAAAAGTTGCTATTGAAACTTAACCCTAGTATTACACAATCAAAATCTTCAGAGACATAGCTATCTTTAATTGTTGCTTGGATTTCCTGAGATGTATTCAAAAGCGTAAAACAAACTTTTGAATGGACAATTAGAAAGTAAAACAGCACAAGTATAACTAAAACTATTGAAAACGTATACATTCAAGCATGTGTACTTGAGGGCGGAAAAGCACAGCAGACACACTCCACGCCTTTGCCTAAACATCCGTGACACAGCCAGAGAAGCCCAGCAAAACCTTCCTTTAGGAATCAAGATTTCTAAATTACAGCATTTAGACATCACATGCGTTACAAGTGCAGAAATCTAACTTAATATACCCAAGTGAAAGAAATTCTTTAAATCACCTAACAAACCATCAATAATGTTGCTACATAAACCACAGTGTTAGTTAACTCAAGTTGTCCTTTCTAGTTAATCATTCTCATAGGTAACTAAGCCAAAAGACACAAGTAAGTGTTGATCTGACTCCAAGAGAGAACTCGGAATATTTCAAATATAATTCCATATCCTTCTCCAAATCAAAAAGTTTAAGTGATAATAATGTGACAATGCAGATTAATTAATTGTAACAAAGGTGCAGGATGTAACACTAGATGACCTGAGGCAGGGAAGAGATGAGAACTCTCTGTACTTCTGCTCAATTTTACTCTGAACCTGAGGGTACTCTTAAAAACAAATGACCAAAATTTCTACTGAGAAATATTACAAATAAAAATGATGTTCTAAGGACAAAATGAAATTCAGTTAACTAGAAAAATCTAGAACTCAGCATATAGATACTAAAAGCTTGGCAAGACAGGAAAGATTCAGATATACACAGAAATGTTAATGAGACACAATCAATAGAACTATGAAACTAATATTTCCATCAAGTCCCTGGAGGAAAGAGTCTCAAACATAAACATGTAGACTTCGAAGCACTTGTGGGACAAGGCATGAGAGACGTACAAAACAGACTGGAATCCTTGTCATACAGACAGATCTAGAGAGAAGTGGAACAGATGCCCTGTTCGTAGACAGTGAAGGACATGGTTGATGAACAGAAAGCTAACCGCAACATTTTAGATATAAAGAAGTGACACAGAAAACTGCAAAGGAGCAGGAGAATATATTAGTCAGTATGGACTGCTGCTGGAACAAAATGCTATACTGCATGGCTAGAACAAAAATGTCCCGCATTCTGGAGGCTACAGGTCCAAGATTAATGTGCCAGAATGTAATGCTGAGGGTTCTTTCTGGATTGTAGACTGCTGCCTTCTGGTTCTGTTCAAAGTGGCAGAGGCACAGAGAGGGAGGACGGATATGATGGCCTAGCTTTCTGGTGGCGCTTCTCATAAAAGTACAAATTTCACCATAAAGCTACATTTTTTTCCAGCTCATCTCTATCAATTATCTCCTAAATGGGCCCAGTGTGGTAGCCTAGTGGCTTAATCCTTGCCTTCCATGCACTAGGATCCCATATGGGTGCTGGTTGTGTAACAGCTGCTCCTCTTCCCTTCCAGTTCCTTACCTGTGGCCTGGTAGAGGATGGCCCAAAGCTTTAGAGTCTGCACACTCTTGCTCCCATGTCCCCGTCCGAGGTCCAGAAGCTGCTCCGGGCTCCTAGCTTTGGATTAACTCAGCTCCAGCCATTGTGGCTGCTTCAGGAGTGAACCAGCATATGGAAGATCTGTCTCTCCTCTCTGTAAATCTTTCTAACAAAAATTAATACATCTTTTAAAAAATTACTTCCTAAAGGGTTGTCTGTTAGGAATTTGGGTGGGGGTGGGGGAACACACTAAAGTTGATAGCAAAATGAAGGACAACCAGGCAAAGGGATAGTGCCACACAAGGGGCTGAATGTGCACAGAGCCTCTAAGTAACAGAAAATATCAAAAGATAAAAAAGTAAATAAGCGAACACTCACACTCTCACAAACGAAGGATGTAACGAAGACCACAGGGCCAGAATCAAAGATGGACAACATATAGCTCTACTCCTGAATAAAATGAGGCCCCCAACAAGACTTCTAAATACACTTAGACAATGAAACACTGGACTCCACCACGGCTTACACCTACGATGTCATGCCCCACGCCACTGGGCCCAAAATAAAGAATTAAATTGACTCTACATAGCTGTGAAGGGAAATGAGTAATTGAGAAAGTAACTATACTTTATTAAGTATCTACCTCCCAGACATGACATAGCCATTCAAACAACTAAGGATGGTTTACAGAACAGACTTTTAAAAAAAAGATTTTATTTTTGTGTGAAAGGCAGAGTTACAAAGAGGAGACACAGAGTGATAGGTTCCACCTATTGCTTTATATCCAAAATGGAGGCAATGCATGGAATCCAGTCTGCTTGAAGCCAGGGGTCAGAACACTCTTCTAGGTCTTCCAGAACGGTTATTCTAACCACATATAAGGTAGATAACACTACAATATGTTCATTAGATTAAGTCTACTAGGGTCCAGTGCGATAGCAGTGCAGCTAAATTCCTCGCCTTGAACACGCTGGGATCCCATATGCACCCCGGTTCTAATCCTGGCAGCTTCACTTCCCATCCAGCTTCCTGCTTGTGGCCTGGGAATGCAGTAGAGGACAGCCAAAGCCTTGGGACCCTGCACCTGCATGGGAGACTGAGAAGCCCCTGGCTCCTGACTTCGGATTGGCTCAGCTCTAGCTGTTGCACCTGCCTGGGGAGTGACCCATTGGATGGAAGATCTTCCCCTCTGCCTCTCCTCTTTTCTGTATAGCCTCCTTCCCAAAAAAAAAAAAAAAAAAAAAAGATTAGGTCTACAAAATGCATTGACTTACACTACTCTCAAACTGATGGATTTACTGGCCCAGGACAACATCCCAATGAGAAAATAATGTAAGTACAGCATTAATAAAAGGCAATACCTTCAGCCTTCTTTGTCCCATGAATCGTATTAGCTGACTAGTCCCAATAACAGCATCGTGAGGCAGATACCACTGACAGGTGCATGAACCATCTGAGGCAGAGGGTGACTGTCAAAGATCACACGCCACTAACAGAAGAACTCAAGGACAAAGTTCTCCAAAGGGTTGGCATTTTAGCTCACACTAACTCAGAGTCTCCGGTCAGAGCTCCAGGTTCTTAACCTCAGCCCGGCCAGCCATGGCTATTACAGCTTTTGGGGAGTGAACGAAAAAACGCTCCTTTCTTTCTTTACTTTCTCTCACACTAAGACCTCTCTGTCAAACCCTACATTTCACATAAATGAATCATTTTTATTTAAAAATAATTTTTTACTGGAAAGCCAGATATACACAGAGCAGTTAAGACAGAGAGGCAGATCTTCCATTCACTGATTCACTCCCCAAGTAGCCATAGTGGCCGGAGCTGTGCTGATCTGAAGCTAGGAGCCAGGAGCCCCTTTGGGTCTCCCACATTGGTGCAGGGTTCCAAGGCTGTGGGCTCTCTTCGACAGCTTTTTGAGGCCACAAGCAGGGAACTGGATGGGAAGTGGGGCTGCTGGGATTAGAACCTGTGCCTATAAATTATCCAGACGCATGCAAAGCGATGGCTTCAGTCACTAGGCTAAGGCTACCATGGTTTGCCCATATAAATCAATCATTAATAAAAGGAATATCCCCAAAATCAGACTTCACATATTTATGTATTGAAAGAATTAAATTACTAAAATGCTACTGCCACTAAAAGCAATTTACATATCTCCATTAACATATGACATATGACATTCTAGAACTAGGGAAAAAAAACTTTAGTTTGGTCCAGCACGGTAGCATAGTGGTTAGAGTCCTCGCCTTGCATGCGCCAAGATCCCATATGGGAGCCGGTTCTAATCCCAGCGGCCTCACTTCCCATCCAGCTCCGTTTGTGGCCTGGAAAAGCAGTCGACGACAGCCCAAATCATTGGAACCTTGCACTCATGTGGGAGACCGAAAGGGGCTCCTGGCTCCTGGCTTCAGGCATAGCTCCAGCCATTACTGCTGCTCAGCTCTGGCTGCTGAAGCCACTTGGGGAGTGAACCAGTATATGGAAGAGATTTCTCTCTGTATCTCCTTCTCTCTCCAGCTACTGTGGCTGCTCAGGGAGAATCATCAGACAGAAGATCTTCCTCTCTGCCTCTCTTCCTCTCTGTATAACTAACTTTCCAATAAAAATAAATAAATATTTCAAAAAAGAAAAATAAAACGGGAAACTGAGGCCTTGGTCCAGGCAGTGGCATGGAGGTTGCTGCTAAATTTCTGGCAAATGCAGGTTGGTAAGGTAGATACTTGGGGTCCAGCCCCATTTCCTTATAAAAATCAGAATGGTTAAGACCATATCTAGCCTGCAATACCCCACTGGTGAGCAGCAGCCAGTCCTTAGTGACAACCCACTAAGAATTTCGTATTTGTTAAGGCTAAAGACGTCAACGTTTGCAGATTATTTAGGAGGTTTAGAAAATTGCTGCAGCAAAAAGCATC